GATTTTGAAAGAACGGACTAAAATCTGCTTGCATTTGTTTAGTTTCTTTTCTATATGAAAAATGTTCGGCAACACATATGGTATGAATTTTTGAAGACACGGGAATTGTGTCGATTACAGAAGTCACAGAAGGTAGCGAGATCTATGAAAATCATGAAACACTCTGTATATTGAAAAATATTATCTCCATAATAAATTAAGATGATAAAACTTATAATGAATCGTATATATGTAAAATAAGTTTTAAAAGTCTAAAAATAGCCCTTCACTTTTATATTTCTTTATGGGCCATCAATGAGACCCAACATGTATGGGCCATAAGCCCTCGCAATGGTTCGTATCAATCTATAAACCCCTAATGCCGAACTGCGTGAAGACTATAGGTGTCGATTTGTCGATCTAGTGTGAACGCCAACTGGAAAAACAAACTGTCCACTGAGAAGTGGACGTCCAATCCTCACAAGCATAACCGCTGCGTGTCATCATTCATACAGCCTTTCACGACACGTGTCCATAAACTACTCCCTCGGATGACATGATTCATTTTATGTCATCATGAATTGTTGTATTTACGGTTTATATGAATACGTCGAGAATACCCCACATGGAGTGACACTTAATTCTACCATTCAATGCACAAACACTCAGAGAAAAAAAATATATTGTTCTCACTGTTGACACTCGATATGTACTTTTTGCCAATATCAATAAACTACTAGTCATACGTTCCTAGGTCTATAATTTGGAAAAATACGTTTGATAATTTATTGTTATTAATACTGTTTCTTTTGAAATTTTAGCAAAACGTAAAAAGTACAAATATCAGTCTCAAATAAGTTTAATACCTTAAGAATTTTTAAAACATTTTTAAAATCAAATGAATATCTAAAGATTTTTAAAAATTTTATAAAATCTAAATTTAATAAACCATTATTTTTTATTTTTAAATTTAAAAAAGTCTCTATAAATTCCAAGTCAATACATCACACTGGTCAACTCGTGCACGCTACTTCATTTCTCTCACTTAAATTGCCCGCCTAGTTATATGAGGACAAAAAGTAGAAGAAAAACCATTCACCATTCAAATGCAAGTCGAGCTACATTTTTGCACACTCAAGTAAAATAGCCTGTTAAATCAACACAAACAAATATTGGAAAAGGACCAAAAATAAAAAAATAAAAATAATAATAAAAAAAAAATCTCTTCCAAATTTCTGTATTTTTCTTTTCACCTTCATCTGCATCATTTTTGCAATCATCAAAATTCAAAATCAGGCCTCAATCAAAGGCGTTCCGCGTTTGACATCTCAAAAATTCTCCTTCAAAATTTCAAAATCACGCCTTTCCGCGCGTTGACGTTGGGGCACCATCGTTGATAGCTCATCCTTGATCTGACCGCCATTTGTAAGGTATCCTTTATGAAGTATTTGTGTGTGTAGGTATATCCCTTGCTTGATTTGGTAGCAGTTTCGTCATGGAAAATCGTCTGTTGGGTGAAGTTTGAATCAAAAAGGAAAAAAAAAAAAGCTGGAAACAAGGAATATCTGGAGCTGCTGCATTTGTTTTTGTGTGCGGGTTCGTGCAGAACGTTTATTTTAAGTGTGTAATTTAGGAAATTTTAGAAGGCAAATGGGAAATTCTGTGTCCAATTTGTGCACGAAAGATGGGTATGTCACTGGATGAATTCTTTCTCTCTCGCTCGCTCTCAGTCTCATTTTCCTTTTATACATATATCTTTATTTTATCTGAGGAACAGTTACGTTTGTGGCAGCTGTTTATAATACTATGCATATTTTGGATCAGGATGTTTTTCACAGCCACTGAGGAGCTGGATTCATACTATCCCATTAGAACTGAATGCCAGGATGATGTCCCCAAGACCCGTTTTAAAGCAAGGGTAAGCAAGAGCATTTTGTTCATATTCTTTCTGTGAAGGTTTTTGGTTTTTTTTTTTTTTTTTTCTTCGTAAAATTGGAGAAAACAAGCATGTTTTTGTCATCATCTGAGTGATTGGATCAAATGCAGTCAATGAGTTTGTAATGCCATAAAAATCATGCATACCATAGAGCTGCAAACATTGCTTTGCATGTTTGGTCTATAGGTTTATTCTCAGTATGCACACTTATTGATATTGTTTCAGTAGGTATCCAGGAGAGACAACTGGAATGAATTTAATTCCTTTTATATGACATTGTTTTTCAATCATTTTCTTCTGACCATATTGACAGGTTGGGAAAACGTTAAGTCCAAGAAGATGGAACGCGGCATTTACTGAGGATGGTCATTTAGATATGGCTGGTGTTCTTAGAAGAATCCAGAGAGGGGTAAAGTAGATTTCTAATAAAGTCTATGAGGTTACATATAATTATTTGAAGAGTTGTTGCCATCTATCAAGTGTAATTGTAAAGTATATAAGAATCCAGGAAGAAGTCCATGGTAGTCTTGTATTCTCATTTGTTAACTTTATAAATGAGCCACCTGTTTGATTTTATCACACTTCTTTATTGTATCTGATAATTTGCATAGGCAAAATGGGTCAAGGAGGAGTCTTCATTGTGATAATTATGTCAGCTTGCTTTATCTTCTAAATCACAAGAAAATCCTCTGTATTTTTTTTGTCTAGTTGCAACTTTCATCAAGTTAACTGATCGTTGCTTCAAATATTATACATAGCAGGTGAAAGGTATGTGACGTTTTGGATTATAATGGCACTTATGAAGTTTCCTAATGGTGCTTTGCTTTATTGCCGTAATGATTTTATCCGTTAGGTTTTTTGTTTTTTGTCCGTGTGTGTATTTATGTCTGTAGAAATTGGATTTAATGTTTAACTAGTCCTCGTGCAGTCATGGAAATTTTGTAAAGGTTTTAATCAATTTGCATGTGGTGTTAACTGAATAATTTACTTGTATATGGTCTATCTGCAGTGTGGATACATACAAAACTAACTTTCTTATTAAAATAGGGAATTCATCCTACTATTAAAGGGGCCGTCTGGGAGTTCTTGTTGGGTTGTTATGATCCCAACAGCACATACGATGAAAGAAATGAGGTCAGGGAGCAGAGAAGGTAACAGGCTAATTTCATTTATGACATTTGCATGTAAGATTCACCTGACTTGTGTGGCCTTGTTCTGGCCAAGTCACACTAGATGAAATTAAAGGTCATGTTCTTTTAAGAGGTGATTGCTTTCTGTTCTGGTTGGGTCTTTACATTATATTATGATTTTCAAGTAGGATATGTCAAAAATCATAATCAACTTGAGTTGATTGCCTTAGCACAATACTCAAATTCGTTCGAATTTAACTCAGTTTGCATATATTAAAGCTACAAAAAAGTTCTTGCCTGAATCTCGTTCATTCACTGCTCAGCTTTTCTATTGTGAAAATTCTATTATGGTGTTGAATTTGAAAGCAAGAAAACTGCCAGAGCTGTTGATATAGTTCAAGTCACAAAGTGGCCTTTGGTGTGTGCATTTTGTAATAGAATAAGGGTTCAGGTAATATATCATGCCACTTCTTAGTGTGACACGGAAAGTACAATTTGCACTTACCTGCTTTTATTAGAAGTTTGCTGCATCTACTTATTGCAATTTAAACTCAATAAGACTCAGTTTAGTTCTTTTGCTGTTGGCACTTGCTAACTTGTAAGGTCATTTTGAGTGCATACTCATTTTTCAAAAGTGGCTGTGACTTTTTCTTGGGTTGCTAACAGTAGTGGCCTACAGCTTAGCGTGTTGAATGTGTTCACTTTTGTATACTTTCAGGAAACAGTATGTTGCATGGAAAGAGTTATGTCAAAAGATGGTACCAACCTTTGGCACTGGAAAGTTCATCACAACACCTATAATTACTGAAGATGGCCGACCTGTCGAAGATCCTTCTGGTAATAGTGTTCCCTTGCCAAATAATGGTGCATTAGATCAAAGGGAGATCAATTGGATGCTTGGCCTGCCTCAAATTGGTTTGTGTTTGTTCATAACTTTCTTTATCCTTTGCTTGATGTAACGTGTGGCCGCTTATGAAGAGCTCATCTTGCATATATCATTGCTAATAAAGCTCAACCTTGTGATGGGTTTGATGCACTGGCTTGTGTATGCAGTTTTCTTTTATTGCTGATATGGATGATAAATTTGCGTGCTTTAGGTTTGGATGTTGTTCGTACTGACCGGACTCTTGTATATTATGAGACTGAAGTCAATCGAGCAAAGCTCTGGGACGTGCTTGCTATCTATTCTTGGGTGGACAAAGATATTGGGTATGTTCAAGGTAATTACTTGTGTTAACCCAAGGACTGGCTGTTGGTGAAAGATCTTACCGTCTTTTTATTTATTTTTTTTTTCTTGAGCAGGAATGAACGATATATGCTCTCCAATGGTTATATTATTTGAAGAGGAAGCAGACGCCTTCTGGTGCTTTGAACGCGCAATGCGTAGACTTGTAAGATTTTATTTTTCTTGGCTCCAGGCAAAATGTCATAAAGATATCAATGTTGGCATATTTGATAATTCTTTGTTTCCCATATTCCTTTACGTGTTGATTAGTACGAAATGAGCAACCATGCAATCAATGATTTGCTAAGTGTTGATTTCACAATGCCTTGGACATTAGGAAAGGTCTTTTGCTCAAGTGATGCTCCTTTCTAGTCCTCTGATAAAATGCTAAACAAATTGGCTGTAATGATGATTCTGTAGATTGCCTGCGCCAGTGAACAAGTAATCATTCTGCTCAATTTCTGATGCTGGACTTAATTAAAATAAGGTCTCATGATGAAATATTTAATTTGCTGGCCAAAATAATTTGTGGAAATGCTGGAACTAAATAGCTTACACAGTTTAGTGTGTTTATGATCTCACGTTGATTCAGAAAAAATAATAGGTGGAAAAAGATGAGGGGAAGAGGGGATTCCTGTGATATATAGGGTAACAATAGTGCAAAAGAGAAATGCATCTTTTGGTTGGTAACTGGGAAAAGGATCATGAGGAGTTGGCTCTGGGGAAAACCCAAACAAACATACTCAAGCTTATTCTAAAATCTTTAATTATGACACTTATCTTGCTGCTTTAACAGTTTTGTTGTCCTGCCTGCTATGATCTTGGTGCCTTTATATGTTGGNTTGAAGACTTACTCTACTTCTGTTTCCATAAGAGGGAAAATTTCAGGTCCACCACAAGTTATATGGGAGTGCAGTCTCAACTGGGAACCCTTGCACAAATTATTAAAGCCATTGATCCAAAGCTTCATCAACACCTTGGTATGGATATTTTCCCGCATAGAAACTTCTCATGGGTGGATCTCTAAAAGGACAAAGAAATCATATATTTCTTTTGATTGGGTTTTGCTAAGAGATAGTTGAAGCCCAGTTTTGACTCCCTTTCCTTTATTTCTTTCTTTCTTTCTTTCTTTCCATTTTGCACGATGTCGCTTAAAAATAACTCTCTCTCTCTCTCTCTCTCTCCCCCTCCCCTTCGGCCGTTCCTCTCCTTTTACATAAGACAAGGCCATTCACACAAATCTGACTTAATGCCCGGTTTTCATTTGTTAGAAGAGCTTGATGGTGGGGAATATCTGTTCGCTATTCGCATGCTGATGGTTCTTTTTCGAAGAGAGTTCTCCTTTGTGGATGCAATGTATCTCTGGGAGGTAAATTTAATCTCTGCCCTCGCTTTCGTTCAAATGTTTTTCATTGAGAATACCCATATATGATGGTCCAATATTCACTCACACACACACACACACACACACATATTATATAATCTATATTTTGGTTGTCAAATCCTTCTTTCATCTCCACTCAACATACTTCAAAACTGATGCTGTGCAATATTTATGATTTATTAGGTCATGTGGGCCATGGAGTACAATCCGAATATCTATGCATCATATGAGGAATCACGTGATGCAACCTCTTCCACCACTGACCAAGCCGAAGTCAAACCAAGTCAACTCAAGCAGTACGGAAAATTCCAGAGAAAGAACTTAAAAAGCGGATGGACTGACGAGAGAAGTGCTCTTGCTATTTTTCTCGTTGCAGGTGTGCTTGAGAAGAAGAATAAACGGCTTCTAAAAGAGGCTCAAGGCCTAGATGATGTCGTTCAGGTACTTCCGTTCTTAAATTGGCAATTATTTGTAATCATTTTCACGGCTTTGAGAATCTCTTTATCATTTATCAAAGATCTTGAGTGAAATCACCGGAAATCTGGATGCCAAAAAAGCATTGAAGCAGGCCCTGAAAGTACACAAGAAGTATTTGAAGGCAAGTACTCGTAATAAAATCAGTAACTGTGTTCATTTCTATTTTCTATGCCCAGCAGGTCTACTGTTAGACAAGCTTAACCGTGAGGCAGTTATACATTTTTAAGAAATATGCATACTATTATACAAGTGACGTACTTTATAAAGCAACTTAAACGAAATTATGCCATTTTACAATATAAATATGATTTTTTGATCATAGAATATGACAGGCCAACCTGCCTAACCATTAGTCTGCCCTACATAAGAATTTGTATTGCCCTTTTTGTATTATCTTGTAATCATCATTGCTTATTGTTGACTGCAGGCCAAGAAATCCTAGTGAACGTTTTGGCAAAACTTCTTTTTAATTCTTTTAAAGATTTAAAACATCGGTTCCCTTATTCTTTTATTGTTTTTTTATCCATCTTCTGTAATAAGAAGGAAATAATGGTGTTATGGTTGTTTGGAATTTTGAGATGCATCGATGATGAGAATGTAGATGAGACCAACTTGAATTGGCTATTTTTTTGAAGATTTAGAATCGGCTGATGATGAATGGTGATGTTGCTTAAATTTAGAATTGGCAATAAATAACCAAAATGTTTGGTAAGAAAATGTGATTTTATAATATACTTTATACTTAACCCTCGTTACCTTACGCGGTTTATCAGACACCTTACAATACATTATTGATATTTGTTTATGTGGAATTACATTATTGATATTGCAGAAAATATAATTATTTACTATTAACTAATATGTGCAATTACACATGATGCAAATAAAATTTAAATATAAACCTCGTTATCTTTTAAAGTAAAAATAGTTCAATTACAAATGTATTAATACAATTCAATTAGGAATAGCTTTATGGCAATAATATTAACACATTTTACGGTATAATATATATAAATACATATATAATATACACAAGACTTATTATCGGGATAATTTCCCCGTTCTATATTATTATACACACAATTTCAAGAGAATCTCAATACCATCTATATGGATTGTACTATAATTTTGAAAAAGAAAATCTATTTTAAGCAAAAAATATATTTTATGTTTTTTCTTTTGTTTGCAATTTTTAGTAAATGATTAACTTTATATGCATAAGTAGGTTATATATAGATAACGCAATATAAGAGTTGATATTTTTTTAAATTTCTACTAATTACAAATACTTTTCTAATTGATACATTATGGCTAATAAAACCGTCACTGTTTTTTCAAAAAATGTTAAATTGTGTGTAATAACTGGTGAAAATCCTAACTATTTTGATTTTTTTAAAGAATAATTTGGAAAGGAAAAAAAAAGAATCGGTTAATAAAACTATTATACCATTTCTTTTCATGGGACAAATAATAGGCCAAAGAAGAAAAAAAAAAAAAAGGACAGTTTACGAAACCCGAAAATTTCCAAATGCTAAAGCTACTACTACCTAACATAAATTATTATAAGAATCAATAAGAAATGATATATATCCATTTAAATATGATGTATATCAGTTAAATGGTATATCTTAGAAATATCTAATGTAACTACAGAAATTAGAATAAGTAAATTATTATTACCGATATACACCAATTGTTTAGATAATAATACATAACAACTTTTTTTTAATAGTAGTACTATTTTTTTTAGCGGGAATTAAAAATATAAAATCCATTTTATATATATAGAAACTTATATATATATATATATATATATAGAAATATAATTCCAAAACATTTTATATATATAGAAATATAAAAAAAGAATTAAGATGGTGAAAATGATCACCATTAAAAAAATAAAAATAAAATAGAATAAAGCTCTCCCTTATTATGTTTTTTTTTTTAAAAAAAAGAGCTAGGGGAGAATTTTACTATGAATTATTTAGGAGGGGGAGGGAGAGAAAATGGTAGACCTTATTTGGTTAAAAACTTAAAGAAATGGAAAATAAAATTAAAATGACAAATTTAACCTTAATGAAATAAGATAAAAAATTAAAAACAATTGAAAGTAGGGACAAAATGGTATATTTACATCAACTTATTACATTTCCCCTCCAAATCCTTCCAATTTTGGTGGGGAGGAAAAGTAAGGGAGGGGAGGGAAATTACTTAAAATTTTCCTCTCCCTCCCTTCTTAATTTTCCAACCAAACAAAAGAAAATTAAAATTTTTCCTCCCCTCCCCTCCAAATCCCTCAAACCGAACAATACCTTAAGACTCCGTTTGTTTTGAGAGATTTGAAATATCTTGATTTCGAAATTTTTGAAATATAATTTTTTTTACTTGCACACTCCTTTGAATGGATGTGTTGAAAATATTATAAATAAATTGTCTAGCTTGCACCGATGGTGTTGACTCGCAGTGGTGATGAACCTAAATGATTGCGAACGGCGTGGTCGTCAAACAGTGGATTTCAAATGACTAGGTTGAAGGAGTCATTTCAAATCCTTCAAAATAATGACTAAAAAATATGTAGTATGAATTTAAAATCCTCCAACTTTCATAATCATTATCATCTCAACATGCATGAATATTTGAACTTGTAAATTTGAAATCTGTATTTGAATTTATAAATTTGAAATCTGGATTTCAAATCTCTCAGTAAATTCCTCGAAACAAAACAAACAGAGCATAATAGACTCGTGCTTTAAAGTGGAGCAGCGTCAGTCCAAAGCTATAGCCTATAGCTGAAAAAACCCACAAACTCTTCAAATATTCTATTTTCTCAACTCTCGCTTTGACATTCATCACTCAATATTCTCAGGTAAGCCCAGATCTATTATTCTCAGCATTTTTTCTTGCAATTTCGATGAAATAATTGTGCGTTTGGGTAATGTAAATACTGTTATTGTCGTATATCTGCCCGCTTTCCGATGTAGCTCTGAATTTTGCCAGATGCTTGATTGCTTGATGAAAATATCATGATTTCTGTCTGATTACAGTAGCATCGTTTAGTGTGATCNATTGTTTGAATTGATATGACTTAGAATAATGCGGTGTGGATTTTTCCTTGATCCAGTTTGTTTTCTTAAGAAGTGATCTGTTCATTCACCTTCTTGCACTTAAAATGCATAATCTGTTCTAGACTTCTAGTAGAGACGTAGTTCATACATCTTTGCACCATTTTGTACAGCTGAAAATAATTAAGGCAAGTGATTTCATTATTGTATATGATTCATGAAGTCCAGGATTAAACAGGGTATTTCCTTTTTCTTTTGGATATTTATTTTTATTTTTTATGTTGAAATATTGTTGTTTGATGCGTACAGTTTAGTGCAAAATGGAAGGGACGGTGTTTACCCCTGCCCTGGAAGGAATGAAGAATGTTAAATCGGAAGATGGGGTGATGCTCACAAAGCCATTCTTGGATGTGTGCAAGCTTATTTTGCCCGTTATTGGTAATTATTGGCTACTAATTTACAGTATAAAACCTTCTATTGGTTGACTTTGGCATTGTTTGAGCGCACTACAGTAGCTACACCAGTATCATTATTGGTCTCAGATTATGAACGGGTTAAAGTATATGGATGAGTGGTCTAATTAAGTTGATTATTTTAATTGTTTTTTTTTTTTTTGCTGCTCACTATTTTCTAATATGCAACAATGGACTTTACTCCATTCGATAATATAAAGGACTCAACATGAATGAAATTTTACATAAATATTGAATTGATATGTAACCATAAAGCGGAATGTATTTTTCATTTAGTTTGGTGAGACAAGATCAACTCAGTGTTACCTGGGTAAGTCACACCAATTTCTCATCGAAACATTGTATTTCACTTAACTGCATCGACGATATAAATAGTCTATGCAGAACAGTCTATATGTAGTATTTCATGTGTTCTTATGTGTTAAGTTCATTATATTAATGGGGCTTGTAAGAAATGATGATTAAAATGTAATTCCCTTTGCATTTCTTGCAGACAAGTTTGGAGCTGCTATGGCACTTGTCAAGACTGATATTGGAGGCAATATAACAGTGAGATTTATTTTTCTCCCCTTCATGTCATATACTTGTATCTTTTTGTCGTCCCAACTGATGGCCCTGTCTGAGATCCTCTTTGAACATATTCCTTAATCAAATTACATCCTCATTTTATTTTTTCCCTTTACTGCAGAGGCTTGAGAACAAGTACTTGTCCAATCCCACTAAATATAACCATTTGTACAGCATGGTACAAGAAGAAGTTGATGCCAAGACTGCTAAAGGCTCGTCCAGTTGCACCAATGGTCTTCTGTGGTTGACAAGGTATACATGAAAATGAACGAATTATCTCACATCTAATGCTGTGTTAACGTTCTTTGATTTTCTTCTAAGTTTTTATTTTGTGTGAATACAAAATGTTAGATAGGATGTGGGTGTTTATAATGTTCGCTCAAGTTAAAACATTATTTGTTCTTTAGGGCAATGGATTTCTTGGTGGAGTTATTTAGGAATCTAATTCATCATGAAGACTGGGCAATGTCCCAAGCTTGTGGTGATTCTTACAGCAAGACTCTGAAACAGTGGCATGGTTGGCTAGCCAGTTCAAGTTTTACGGTATGCAAATCCTCATGAACTCGCTATTTTCATTTTCGTCATTGTACTAAATCACGAACCAATCCTTGATCAAATTACTAAATTTTGGTTGAAAATAAATTTTAACTTGTTGGTGATGAGAAGCTGGAAAATAGGTGTTGAATTTACTTGTGAGCCCATGTAACAATTAACGTAGTTTAGGTTTGAAATTGGCTGTTAACGTGCTAATTATAAATGTGGTCTATATATTGCAGGTTGCTATGAAGCTTGCTCCTGATAGGAAAAAGTTTTTTGATGTTGTGGCTGGAAGTGGTGACATTAACCATGACATTGAAAAATTCTGCACTACATTCTCACCGTTTCTCGAGGAAAACCACAAATTCTTGGTAAAATATCTAGCCGTGAAAGACCACATGAAATCAGATATTGAGTGTCCTATTTTTTTTTTCCTTTTATTTTTCATTTGATACAAGTTGAGAAGTAATTTTATTTTTCTTCCTCTTGACAGGCTAGTGTTGGCATGGATGCTCTCAAGGCTTAGTAGATGATGATTGAAGACGAAATTCACATCCTCAAATGATATTACCCGGTGTACTCTTATTAACTATGCATCAGTATACCTTGCTAATAATTTCGAATACAAAACATGGTCTTGTGCTTGACATATACTTTTGCACTGGGAACATATATAGGAATATACCTGGTACTTTTACTAGTGAAGTTAAAGGCATGCATTAAAAACAAAGTGGTTCCAAAAGAAGCAAGATTCAAGTTTGAAGATACACGACACCACATTATTCAAATGTAGTCTCGTGTATCAATTAACGCTTATGTTTTCTTATAAAGATGCTGGAAATTACCCTTCCTGTTGTTTCTTTTCAACCTTAATACTGCTGAAAACATCAAAAGCAGATTGGAAATATCAAAACCACCATTTAGTGAGTGATGATGTGAAGTTTTTATGTCAACTAACTTTCAGCTGGATGATGGAAGATGAATTTTTGTGCTTTATGTCTCTTATGGATTGTTGAGTGGAATGTAGACATGATGCTTCTTTTCAGGCTGCGTATATAATATTGTTAAATATAAGTATGACATTTTTATAGTTTAAGTATGCAATTTTGTTAGATATATACGAAAGGTGGAGTTGCCTAAAGATTCGTTTGCCTAATACAAGAATTTGAGAAAAACTAATAAGAATTTATGAAATATTAAAGTGATAGAACACTTCTTGTCAATATTATTCTCACAAGAATCTGTGAAAAATTAAAGTGATGGAACACTTCTTTTCAATCAAACAAGCAAAGGGATATGCCCCGCGGCAGAATACGAGCCATCTTTTTCTCTTTTNAAAAAGACTCGTGGTTCGGAAACATTTTAGTTTTTTGGGTTATTTCATCATTTTTTTCCTTTTAGAAAAAAAAAAAGAAGAAATTATTGTTGAATAAAATTGCTACCTAAATTTCCGAAGGTCGTCTGGCTTTTGTCTCAACGGGTCAATAGGAGCCAACAATTTATCACCACCTAAAAACGAAAGGTTTTGCATTAACATTTCTCATATGTTGATTTTTTTTAGAAAATTCACTTTTTCTTGGTCAAACAAATTTTGGATATATTTTTACCTTTTTAAGAAAAGAGAGAAAAAATAGAGTCAGTTATTTTTACTGTCCTCCCCACCTTCATTCGAGCCTCTCCTTTGAAAAGAGAAAACAAAAAACAAAAATAGGCCAACACTTCCTCGAGATTTTTTCCTTCTTCTTTTCCTTCTTTCCTTATATTTGCATGGATCAATTTTAAAAGTCCATGAGATGAAACTGATTTTCCTTGTAAAAAAGGGTTGGTTTTCCTCTCATGGTCTTTTTGAACTAAGCTGAAAAAATCCATGCAAATTCTTTTGATCAGTTGAAAAAGATCAAGAAGCTAGCTTTCACAAACATGGCAACCAAGGTGAAGGGCCTTTTCAAAGGGCTCAGAAGCATTCCCAAGATGTTCGGTGAGTGTTCTTATTCATCATTTTCTTCACATTTCCAAGTGGTACCTAGTAATTTAAGTATCAAACATTTGTATTGAATTTGAATCTCATTTGAGTTTCACATTTTCTTTTCTTCTTTTAAATGTAGATGATGGAAAAGAAGAAGAAATGCAGATTGGTTTTCCCACAGATGTGAAGCATGTAGCTCATATCGGTTGGGATGGACCGTCACAAGTTGGTTCTTCCCCAAGCTGGGTACGAATCTTAATTTCGTCACAATAAAAATAAAAATAAAATCGAAAAGGGAAAAGCGATATATTGATGTGATCTTATTTCGGCTAAAATGATATGCAGATGAAGGAGTTCAAAGCCTCCAACGGACACCAATCGGCACCTTTAGATTCCAACGGAAAAACCATCGAGGGCCCTGAAATCAAATGGGTTTCTGAAGGTTTGTTCAAATCTAATTCTATTCCTTCATACACATTGATGAGAAAGAAAATCTAATATAATCCAGTTAATTTCTGTTATGTAACCTAAATGTGTATTTTATTTATTTATTTTTTTTATTTTCTAATAGATACTAAAAAAGGCAATAGAGCAACAGAGTCCCCTGAAATCCCAAGATCGTCGAGGCGCGAAAACCACAACTCGAACGAGTCCCCGAGGAAAAAAGACTCGTCCACTAAATCGAGGCACTCGAGGAGAAACCACTCCAAGGACTCGTCCGAAGGTGGTAGCGTCAAGTTGGGCCGGGATGACTCTCCGTCGCGGGCCCACCCAGACCTCGCCAAGAAATCGCGTCGAAAAAAGCCTAAGGAATCCGATGGTGGCGGGTCGACCCGATCAAGGCACAAGGACTCGGATGGCGGGTCGACCCACCGGTCAAGGTCAAAGGACTCGGATGTCGGGTCGACCCACCGGTCAAAGGACTCGGATGGTGGGTCAACTCGGTCAAGGTCAAAGGACTCGGATGGCGGGTCAACCCAGTCAAGGTCAAAGGACTCGGATGGCGGGTCGACTCGGTCAAGGTCAAAGGACTCGGTCTCGGAGGGAAGTGGGTCCTTGCGACCGAGAGCCAAGCCCACTTCTTGTGGGGCATCGGCGTACTCGGAAAGCGGGCCACTAACAGGGACTATTGATGAGGAGAAGGAAAGAAGAGTAATTTCTTGAGGATATTAATGTTTTT